AGGCTCATGACATTTAAAAGAATGATCTCAAGATAATGGTCTCCAGTGGGCTGCCCAGGACTCTCATTAAAATAAACGTGGAACTGAGCTCCATCCTTAAGGAACAGGAAAGACCCGGCCCTTTGTGTTTGAGAAGACTTTATAATCCCAGGCATAGAGTGGATTTAGCACAGGGGTGAATTGGCCTAAAATATGTATCTAAATTATAAACATGTAAAATCAAAGGGAAACTGCCAGAAAACTGTGTAAGAGTTGTAGGATTGCAAATTACCCTCATGGCCTAATTTCCTTAGGATTCAAAGAGCATAGGAAATGCTTTTCCTTCTGTAGAAGGTGGGAATATGTGTTTGTTTTATTTCTATTCATCTTTACAAAGAGCATTACTCTGTGTCTTTAATGGTCAAGTACCTTTAGATGTTAATAACTTCTTGGGGTATACTTAAGGAAAAATGGGTTAAATTTAGAATATTGCCAATTTCCTATTCTTGAAACAGGTGGGACTCAGAAAACTACGTGATGGAAAGCTTGAAGATCTGAAAAACCGAAATCATGGTTTATCTTGAGATTAGATTGTGAGAAGTATTGAATGCCATGAAAAGTATTGGAATTCCACTCTGCAATCAATTTGTCACTATCAGCTATTATCAATGAGTTCATGAATCCTGTGTTTAGCAATCTAACATCTGGTCATCCTGTAGCACATAAAATAAATATGTGAGAGATTTGTGACTAAATGAGCACTAAGAAAACATCATATCCACCTTGTGGAACAAATCAAGGACAATTACAGAAGGAATAAAAAAGAAGAAGAAGAAGAGAGATGTTGTAAATGTTTTGGAAACGATTACTGGGTGTAACAAATGGAGAAGTAAAAAAAAATTGGTGTCTGATTGTCACTCTCTGATGATTATAACTAGATAAAAGAGGAAAAAGGAGAAATTCATATTTGGAGAAATATGCCCAGTTCTTTCTGAAAGTTTTGCTTTCAATGCTTAGAAGACAAATAGGATCTGAAGATGTGCCAAAGATATTTGAAAATTATTTTTTAGTAGAAGTTAGGTTTGAAGAATTAATTACAAGGTGAGTGATAGTTGAATCAGTAAGAACAGAAAATAGTTCCTTTTGGAGGTTAATGCCCTGGGAAACTTTGAAATGAGATAGTTTTCATGGAGAGATATTAGAAGCATGGATATGTAGAATATCCTTAAAGGTAGAGTAGAAAGATGAGTTTATCTTTGAGTCTTGATATTAGAGGTTTTCCGGTCCTCGTATTGCTTCTACTCCCTCGTGTTTGCAGGTTAGTTGCTTATTCATTCTAGTTTTTGTTTAAGTAAATTACTTCTTCAGAAAGGATTCCCTGGCAAACCAATATAATTAAGTACTCTCATATGAAAGAAACGCAGTGTCTCTAGTTACATGTTGTGTTTCATATGTATCTGATTTCTTCCCATATCATAGATAAATATACATGTTGAGTGAATTTGTGCCCTATCTTAAATGGCCCAAGTGGGTTTTTCCCTTTTAATTCTGACTCTAAACCCTGTGTATTCTGTTAAAATATTTTGCTTTATCTTTTAGAGCTGCCCTTTGAAATCTACTTCAGCATCTCTTACCTTTGTTTTGGCTTCTCGATGCTCAAATACAGTATGCATAGTCTCTTCTGATATCCAATTTTGTTTTGTGTTTGTTCTTTGTAAAGACCTTTTGCTCTCTTCATGGATAATATCTTTGCTTTTCTCTCAGAGTTTTTCTGGTCTGGTTTCTCTGGTGTTTAATGCCTTGAACTTGTCATTAAATGATTCTTAAAAATCAACTGGGATAGACTCGAGGTCATATTTTGGTTTCTGTGAAGTTTTCATTTTCTTCAGCTTCAGTTTAAACTTGCACATGAGTACGGCATTGCATTGGGCAAGTTCACTGTCAGGAACCTCTCCAAAATGCTGAGGAGCAATGATACGTACTTGAAGACTAAGGTGTCCCTGATTCAGGCAATGGTCTTCTCAGTTACCTGCTATGTGTCAGAGAGCTGGACAATGAATAAAGAGGACAAAAGAATTTCTGCCTTTCAGTTGTGATGCCTGAGAAGAGTACAGAATTTCCCATGGCTTGCCAAAAGAACAAGCAGGTATGTTTTAGAAAAGTTGCAGCCAGAGTGTTCTTTGGAACCAAAGATAGCTGAGCTTCATCTTTCATACTGTGGACATGTACCTAAGTGAGCCTATTCCCTGGAAAGGGACATCAGGCTTGGAAAGATAGAGGGTCGATGCAAAAGAGGAAGACCCAAAACAAGATAAATTGACACTGTGACTTTAGCAATAAGCAAGAGATGATGAGGATAGCACAGGATAGGACAGGCAGGGTTCAGGTATGCTGTTCATAGAGTCGCTTTGACTTGTACTCAGCTCAACAACACCTAATAACGACTTTGTGGCCCAGTGGTAAGAACCAGCACTGTAATGTCAAAAACATTCAGTTGGAATCTTATCAGCTTCTCCACAAGGGAAAGATGGGAAATCTTCTCCTGTGAGATTTACTGCCCCTGAAAACCCGCTGGAGGGTCAACCATGGGTTACTTTTGGCTCAACGGCAAACAACAGACCCTTAAAAGTAATTTTTTCCTTGGTAAAATTAATAAGATGGAATTAGATCTATCTATTATTCACCATATTACCTACCCTGACTCCTCTTCATTGCCTACAACTGCAGACCAAATACAAGACAGTAACTATTCAGCTAAGGCTGTATCTTCACTTGTCTTTATTCTTTGTGAAAATTAAAAAATAATTCTCAACAATATTTTTATCTTTCTCTCCCTACTTATTCATTTCCTACAGAGTTCACTTTTTTCCTATTCCTTCACCTTTAACAGTGACTGAGGTGAATTTTTTTTCCATTCCAGACTTTCTCAGTTTTATTCTTTATCTAGAGTGAATGTTTCACAAAAAATTGGAGAAATATGTCTTTTGATCTAAAGAATTGAATCCATTCTTTTCAAATTTGTACTGCAAAGAAAATAACTAGTTTATTGTTTAAAATTTAATTATGTCCCCCAAATATGTGTTCTAATGTTAACCTCTGCTGTTGTTTGTAAGTGTCATTGAGTCAACTATAGCAACCCTGTGAACATGAAACTCGCCCTACCCTGTGCCATCTTCATCATCTCAGATACACTGGAGTCCATTGTTACAATCGCTAGGTCAACCAATCTTGTGGAGGATGTTCCTCCCTTTTTATGACCCTCCACTTTTCTAGGCATGATGCCCTTTCCAAGGACTGGTTCCTCCTAACAACATGCTCAAAGTGTGTGAAACAAAATTTTACCTTCCTTTCCTCTAAGGAACAGGTTGTTGTACTTTCCCCAAGGTACATTTGTTCTTTTAGCAATCCATTGGATAGTCAGTACTCTTCTCCAAAGAACAACTCAAAAGCATTGATTCTTCTTCGGTCATCTTTATTCACTACTCAACTTTCAGATCATTGAAAGAGTGTGGCTTGGATCAGGCATACTTTGGTCTTTAAACTGGCATCTTTGTACTTTAGCACTTTGGAGAGGTCCTTGACAGCAGAGTTTCCCAGTGCAAAGAGTCTTTTTGTTTTTTGACCCCTGATGCCAAGGGTGTTGATCATGAATCCAAGTAAGATGAAATCATCGATAACTTCAATATGTTGTCCATCTATCATGATGTTGCTTATTGGTCCAATGGTGAGGATATTTGTCTTCTTGATGTTGAGATATAAATGCATATGGAAGGATGTGGTTTTTGGTCTCCAGCAAGTGTTTCATGGTTATAATCTTACTTGAGAATGAGATGTCTTTGTTCCATTAATGAGGTAGGATTAATTTAGGACATTGTTTTGAGTCTGTTTCTTTTGAAATATAAAGAGGATTAAAGAAATAAGCAGAGCAGGGTTAGTGAAGAAAGATGCTAAGCCATATGAAGTCTACCCAGGAGCAGAAGCTCAGAGGAGACAAAGACCTTCCTGCAGAGCTGAGAGAAATAGAAAGCCTTCCTATAGGACCAGCACCCTTAATTTTGACTTCTAGCCTCCTAAAGGAGAAAGTGTACATATTTCTTTCTTAAAGTTATCTATTCTAGTATTTCTGCTATAAAAGAATTAAATAACAATGACCTATACAAACTATACAATTTTATGTTCTGTTAAAAATTTTAAAATTGATCATTATGTCATGACCAGAATATGCCACTCAGGTATGAGATAGTTCCAAAATAATTTGGCTTCAAGAAGAGTCTGTTTTCTTGTGTTAGATATTTGGAAAAGAAGGTGGTCAATGAAAACTTCTTAAGAACAAAAATTATGTGGAGTATTATCTTGAGAATTACTGACATTGTATTGTCAAACTGCAGTTTTTACCATAGTTCAGAACTCAACAGAGGTTCCAAGAAGCTAAGTTGATTTCTCTAAGCCACTGATTGTCTTAATGATCACTCTGGGAGCCACTGTATTGTAGGGAGATCATTTGAAGATAAGATTCAAATCTCAATTTACTTTAAGAAATGTTTGCTCATTCTTTGTAGAATGTCTTTAAGATTGAATTGATTTTGTTTTCTCAGTCAAGAGTTTGTTAGGCACTCCTGAGTATCAGGCTACTGTTAGAACACAGAAAAACCTCCAAAATCTTTAAATGGATGTAAATTCTCAAAGACTAATGGATCAAGATACAAAAATGTTTATTTCAGTTTTTCCTTTTTCATGCAGACTCTGAGCTTAGAGAAGAAAAAGGAGTGCTTTACCTAATGATTCCCAAGAAGAGGTTGGCTCATGCTACGGCATTTATACAGATTCTCTTACTGGAATCTTTCTTCACCCGACATCTGATCTTTATTTCAGCTAGTTGTATCTCAGGCTTTCACATTAAGTTGTCTTGCTCTTAGAACCTGTTAGCATCAGTGCAGAAATAGTGATTGAAAATCACCTCAGGATCTCAGCCTCAAGCACATCTGCACCTGTGAAAGAAAGATAGTGAGTCCCTCCAGAGGATGGACAATCAGACGGCAGTGACCACATTCCTTCTGTGGGGATTTTCCAGTTTCCCAGACCTACAACATCTTCTTTTTGCAGTGATTTTCTTCTCCCATGTGACCATCCTAGCTGCAAATGGGTCCATAATGATGGCCATCAAGCTCAGTCACAATCTTCACACTCCCATGTACTTTTTCCTCTGTGGCCTATCCTTTTCAGAAACCTGTGCCACTATGGTAATCATCCCTCGCATGCTGGTGGACTTATTATCACTCAGCAAAACTATTTCTCTTCCCGAATGTGCCACACAAATGTTTTTCTTTTTTGGTTTGGCAGCCAACAACTGCTTCATCATGGCTGCCATGTCCTATGATCGCTACACTGCCATCCACAACCCACTGAACTATCACATGCTGATAACCGGCAGCATCTGCTGTCAGCTGATGATGGCCTCTTTTCTGGTTGGGTTTTTTATTTCTCTATGTATCGTCATGACTGTATTCAACTTGTCATTTTGTGACTCCAGAATCATCCAGCACTTTTTCTGCGACATCTCACCTGTAGTCAGCCTTGCTTGTGATTACACTTTTATTCATGAAATGATTCTTTTTGTGCTCTCTGCCTTTGTGTTGGTGGGCAGCTTTATTCTGATTATGATTTCCTATGTGTTCATCGTGTCCATAGTTGTAAAGATGCCCTCCGCAAAGGGGAGATATAAGGCCTTCTCAACTTGTTCTTCCCATCTTTCTGTAGTGTCCATTCACTATGGATTTGCTTCCTTTGTGTATCTGAAGCCCAAGAACAGTGAATCGTTTCATGATGACATGCTGATGGCTGTGACATACACAGTACTCACACCTCTGCTTAACCCTATTGTTTATAGTTTAAGAAACAAGGAAATGCAGATAGCCCTAAAGAAAGTAATAGGCAATATTAGTAGATTTATTCTTCCTCTGCAAAGAGGTAATAGATAGTAAATAAAATAACTCAACAATTTTATAACATGATTTGAGTGAGAATTTACAAGCAAATTGTCTTTCTATTCAATAATTCATATATATTGACCGAGTACTAAATCAGTTTACCTGATCCAAGCCATGGTTTTCAGTTGCTTCATGTGAACATTGGACAATTAATAATAAAAACCAAAGAAAAATTGATGTATTTGGATTATGGTATTGGTTAAGAATATTGAACGGACTGCCAAAAGAAAAAAAAAAAAAGAAGCTGCCTTAAAAAAAGTGCAACCAGAGTGCTCCTTCACAGTAAAGATTGTGATTTCCTGTCCACCCTTTGAACATGTTGTCAGGAGCAACCGGTCCCTGGAGAACATCATTATGCATGGAGTTTACAGGGTCCATTTGTTCTTTGGAGTAATAATCTTTGTTCTTCTTTATTCTCCTTCACTCTAGATAGGGAAAGACCAATTGTTTCTCCCTGTATGGTCACTCAAAAGGTTTTAAAGTACAAGACACTATTCACCAAAGTAAGTTGAAGAAAATTGTCTTTGTGGTCTGTATTATGGTAATTGAGCTTCATGTCCTCCATGATTATGGCCCTGACCCCCAGGTCCAGGGGCTAAAGATATTTGGTGTGGCTAAGAAGTTTTAATGATTTAATGCTATTTTCTACACTGTAAACTTAGCTCTATTACTATCACATACAGATATTTATGTAGAAATATCTGCCAAACTTACATGGTCATGAATATAAAATGTCATTAACCTACTACATGTATCTACCCATCTGGCCTGTATCCTTATGTATGCATTCATAGATTAATGACTTATTACTGACAATGTAAGATTTTGTATATAATAGTATTTAACTTTATTGTTTACCCTTGTTTACCCGTCCATGCTTCCTTTTCCTTTGTGATATTGTGCCAGTCATTCCTTTTTTGTTTGTTTCCTTGCATTTCACCAAATTTAATGTTTCTGTTTCTAGTTAGTGATTTTCTTTCTCCTTCCATCCATGATCACTATCTAAGAACATTTCTTTTTGTACTTAAATCTTTCCTTTTTATAAGAATGAACAAATACAGTTTTTGTCCTTGACAGCAACTAGCAATAAGTCTCCAGAACATGAAAGAATCCATTTCAGTTCTTCTAATCCAGTTGTTTGTGGCTAATTCCTATCACAACCCTATTTAAAGTAAGATTTTCATAACATAAAATAAAACATTAGCCACTTTGAAGCATGCAGTTTAATAGAATGCCGTGCACTCACAATGTTGTGTAACTACCACCGCCATCTACTATGAAGACACTTTTAAATATGCCAAAAGAAAACTGAAACCCCATACTTTTGAAGCAGCTATTCCTCATCTCTTCTTTCTCCTAGCCCTTTAAATCACTGATTGACTTTCTATTCTAGATGTTTCTGATGTTTCATTTATGTAAAATCATGAAATGTGTGACCTTTTGTGTCTAGTATATTGCACCTACTGG